GTCTAAGCGAGTCGTACCAGTTCCTCATCACGGCGTTGGAGTCGAGAGCTGACTCACTGTCGTGGGAACTAGTGACGGCTCGGCTGCTGCATGAGGACATGAAGCGCAAAGAGCAAGGTGGCGGTGCGGACGGCGCCGCGCACGGTCAAGCGTTCATGACGAGTGACAACGGTAAGCGTAAGGGACGACAGGCGCCAAAGACAAGCGCGTGTCACTACTGCGGCGAACAAGGACATTGGATCGCCAAGTGTCCGGTGAGGATTCGTGAAAATGCGGAGCGACAGAGGCCGCAACGAGCAAACGTCGCGCGCGATGAAGAAGAATCGGGCGAGTTTCTCTTCTTGGCTGGTGGTGGGAGCAAGACCACTAAGTCAAGTGACAAGTGGCTGGTCGACTCGGGTGCGACGCAGCACATGACGTACTCGAAGGAGTACATGAAGAACTACAAGAAGATGTCTCCGGTGGACGTACATCTCGCGGACGATGGTGTGGTTCAGGCAGTCGGGACCGGCGACATCGTGATGTCCATGAAGACTCCACGGGGGGACCAAGAAGGGTGTGCTCACGAATGTGTGGCACATTCCTAAGCTGTCACGCAACCTCTTCTCGGTTGGTCGCTTCACCAAGGATGTTGGTCCCGTGACGTTCGAGACGGATGGGTGTTTTGCGGAAGCAAAGGGTCTCAACTGGAAGCTCGGCGCGCGTGAAGGCAAAGGGCTGTTCAAGCTGTGCATGACACCAGTTGTGCCCGACGAGGCCAATGCGGCAAGCTCGAAGGATCGCAAAGGGGACACCACATCGTACCTCTGGCATCTTCGACTTGGTCACATTGGCCATGGCGGTCTAGACGCCATCGTCAAAAAGGACTACGGTGCAGGCATCAACATGACGTCGGTGAAACAGTGGGAGCTGTGCGACGGATGTGCACTCGGCAAGCAAACGCGAGTGAGCTACATGTACAAGTCACCCAACCACGCCAAGAAACTGCTGGAAATCGTTCACAGTGATGTGTGTGGTCCCATGCAGACGTCGACATTCAGTGGCAAACGCTACTTTGTCACGTTCATCGACGAGTACTCGCACTTCTGTGTGGTGTATTTGCTCCGGAACAAGTCAGAAGTGGCCGACAAGTTTGCTGAGTTTGTCGCATTTGCGGAAACACAGACCGGCAAAGTCGTCAAGACGCTTCGTAGTGACAACGGTGGCGAGTACACGTCGGGCGAGATGGCTAAGTTCTGCAAGCGTCGTGGTATCGTGCAGAAGTTTACACCTCCGTACACGCCTCAACTAAACGGTGTCGCCGAGCGGATGAACCGGACGCTGGTGGAATGTGCGCGCTGCATGTTGGAGCATGGTTTGGCCAGGTCGTATTGGGGTGAAGCGGTAATGACTGCTGCGTTTCTACGTAACCGGTGTCCCACACGTGCCATCAGACATGACAAGTCACCGCACCAAGTATGGACCGGTAAGAAACCACTGCTGGTAAACCTGAAGGTGTTCGGTTGCCATGCGTATGTGACGGTTCCGAAGCAGAAACGTACCAAGTTGGACGCTCGAGCAGTGAAGTGTCGGTTTCTGGGGTACTCGGACCACGAGAAAGCGTATCGCTTCGAGGAGATCAAGAGCGGTCGTGTGCTAGTGAGCCGCGATGCGCAGTTCATGGAAGACGTCTT